GCATAGTTTATAAAACCATTTTTATGTTTTGTAAGAGTTTGTGGCTACATTTCTATATGAAGCATCAATATATATGGTACAGAAAAGATTAATTAGTTGCCAAACCACTTTCTATTAACATGTTATACTTTTAAAGCATTAAACCCAGTATGAGGTTTATGCTATTGCCAAAGTCTTAAAAAATACAATTCTTCACTAATAATTTCTCTTTCTTTTACAGTGAAATGGACTTCCTCAAAAATGAACACTTTGCCAGCCCTGTAGTTTGTGACTCTGTTCAGCCTTCTTTGGATCAGTCTCCCCACAAAGACTCTGAAGACAGTGGAAAGAAATCAGTTATAAATAGTTTCAACAAGGGAGAAAACAAGGATGTCCATCTTTCAAAATCAGATGAAGTTGATTCCACTGTTCCTAAAGAGAATTTTCCACATTCTTTCCTCAGGAGAGAAAGAGATGGAATACCATCTTCTTCTCCATCAAGTAAAAATAGAGTCCATTTTGATAAACCCAATAGGTTAGTATGTGTTCTGTTGTTGAAATGCATCTTTCAGCTATTTAGTACATTGTCAAACTAGAAGAGTTTCAGTTCTTATTTTGCAGATCAGATGCATGAATTTTTATGTGTCTGACATGAACTTAACACATAGCAGAGTCCACATCATTACAAAAAAATCATAAGTAATTACTAAGTTAAATTGTGTTAAAGAGGAATAGACCAAAATGAACTAGGTCCTATTTTAGCTAAGTACTGAAACCCATAAATAATATGTATGTTCTGGGTGCTGTATTTTACCCAGTGTTTTTTACCTTTTCTGTGTTCTACAGTCATTATCAGATTCAGTAGAAAGCTTTGATATTAAATAGTTGCCTTTACTAAAAAGGCGATTAGTTCTTGATCTTAGTCCTTTTTCCTGTGTCTGCCTCCATTAGTAATGTTGTGTCATGAATATTATCTTAATTCATTTAATTTTTATTGAATAGCAATGATTGAACTTAGATGACTAAAGCAGGGTCCCTTGCCCATCATGATTATGTTTCCTAGTAGAGGAGACAAAAAGTATTTACATTATAATGTGAAAAAAGAATATTCTCTAAGAGAGGAATATTTATTGAGTTCTTTTTATATATCAGGCACAGTTCTAAATGCTTTACATATGCTAGCTTAGTTAATCCTCACACATACCTTGTGATGCATTCTGAGCCAGTCATACTTCCTCCTCCTATTAAATGGAGGTGTATTAGAGCAAGTGTTGGGATGTAATAGGAAAGCATGACTAATTTGTTTTAGACTTAAAGGTACTCGTTATTAGTGAGAAGTATTTGATTTTTTTTTTCCAAAGCAAATTTTTTTACTCATATGCCACAACTTTGTGTGTGGTTGTGTGTGATTGAAATAGACATGGCCCAGTCCTCAAAGTGCATTTAATCTAATATGGTTAAGATATAGTCATAAAAATAATGCAGTGGCATTTGTAGTAGTTCTTAATGTTTAGTAGTTCCATATATCTCCTTTATAGTCCAAAGCTACTCTCAGGAGAAAGATGATTGTTAAATTTATCCAACTAACTTTTTTAGCTCTTAACTGTATGTCGGGCAATGTTAATGAAGAATATAAAGTTTAAAAGAAGAGTGAAAGTGTTAGTTGCTCAGTCATGTCTGACTCTTTGGGACCCCATGCACTATATCCTGCCAATCTTCTCGAGGTTCATGGAATTCTCCAGGCAAGAATACTGGAGTGGGTAGCCATTCCCTTCTTCGGGGGATCTTCCCAACCCAGGGATTCAAGCCCGGTCTCCTGCATTGCAGGCAGATTCTTTACCATGTGAGCCACTAGGGGAGCCCAAATGAGGCCACTAGAGAAGCCCAAATGAACAGTATAGTGACAGTAACCAAACATGTTACACTTCAGTTACAAACTTTACAGTATAAGAGAGACTGTCAGGCAATTATAATGTTGTAAAAGGTAATAATATAAGAGAAGTTCAGCTTGTTTGGGGAACACACAATCAGTGTACCTAACCTAGTCATCAGAGTTGGAAAGCTTTCAGGGAAGAAGTATTTTCTAACTTTATACCAGATGTGTAAGTAGCAGTGAACCAGGCAAAGAGATAAGAGGAAGTTTTCCCCCTAAGAGGAACTAACAGGAGCAGGAAGAACACTAAACTTGGGGAGCTAAGAAGGATTTATGAGGATTGAAGCAAAGCATGCAAATGAGAAGACAACAGGAGGGGAAGTTGGAGAATTAAGCTGAGACTAAGTCATATAAGCTGTGTTAACTCATTTTAGAGACTTGGTATCTAAGTTTTTGGGTTTTTTTGTTTTTGGTATCTAAGTTTTAAAAGAAAGTAAGGAAAACCACTAGACCATTTGGGTATGAGCTAAATCAAATCCCTTACGATTGTACAGTGGAAGTGACAAATAGATTTAAGGGACTAGATCTGATAGACAGAGTACCTGATGAACTATGGATGGAGGTTCGTGACATTGTACAGGAGACAGGGAACAAGATCATCTCCAAGAAAAAGATATGCAAAAAGCCAAAATGGTTATCTGAGGAGGCTTTATAAACAGCTATGAAAAGAAGAGATGTGAATGGCAAAGGAGAAAAGGAAAGATATACCCATTTGAATGCAGAGTTCCAAAGAATAGCAAAGAGAGTTAAGAAAGCCTTCCTCAGTGATGACTGCAAAGAAATAGCAGAAAACAATAGAATGGGAAAGACTAGAAATCTCTTCAAGAAAAGCAGAGATACCATGCAAAGATGGTCACAATAAAGGACAGAAATTGTATGGACCTAACAGAAGCAGAAGATATTAAGAAGAGGTGGCAAATGTACACAGAAGAACTGTACAAAAAACATCTTCACCACCCAGATAATCACTATGGTGTGATCACTCACCTACAACCAGTCACCCTGGAATGTGAAGTCAGGTGGGCCTTAGGAAGCATCACTATGAACAAAGCTAGTGGAGGTGATTGAATTCCAGCTGAACTATTTCAAATCCTAAAAGATATGCTGTGAAAGTGCTGCACTCAATATGCCAGCAAATTTGGAAAACTCAGCAGGGCCACAGGACTGGAAAATGTCAGTTTTCATTCCAATCCCAAAGAAAGGCAATGCCAAAGAATGCTCAAACTACCACACAGTTGCACTCATCTCACACACTAGTAAAGTAATGCTCAAAATTCTCCAAGCCAGGCTTCAGCAATACGTGAACCGTGAACTTCCAGATGTTCAAGCTGGTTTTAGAAAAGGCAGAGGAACCAGAGATCAAATTGCCAACATCTGCTGGATCATCGAAAAAGCAAGAGAGTTCCAGAAAAACATCTATTTCTGCTTTATTGACTATGCCAAAGCCTTTGACTGTGTGGATCACAATAAACTGTGGAAAATTCTGAAAGAGATGGGAATACCAGACCACCTGACCTGCCTCTTGAGAAACCTGTATGCAGGTCAGGAAGCAACAGTTAGAACTGGACATGGAACAACAGACTGGTTCCAAATAGGAAAAGGAGTACGTCAAGGCTGTATATTGTCACCCTGCTTATTTAACTTATATGCAGAGTACATCATGAGAAATGCTGGGCTGGAAGAAGCACAAGCTGGAATCAAGATTGCCGGGAGAAATATCAATAACCTCAGATATGCAGATGACACCACCCTTATGGCAGAAAGTGAAGAAGAACTAAAGAGCCTCTTGATGAAAGTGAAAGAGGAGAGTGAAAAAGTTGGCTTAAAGCTCAACATTCAGAAAACTAAGATCATGGCATCTGGTCCCATCACTTCATGGGAAATAGATGGGGAAACAGTGGAAACAGTGTCAGACTTTATTTTTTTGGGCTCCAAAATCACTGCAGATGGTGATTGCAGCCATGAAATTAAAAGACGCTTACTCCTTGGAAGGAAAGTTATGACCAACCTAGACAGCATATTAAAAAGCAGAGACATTACTTTGCCAACAAAGGTCCATCTAGTCAAGGCTATGGTTTTTCCACTGGTCATGTATGGATGTGAGAGTTGGACTGTGAAGAAAGCTGAGTGCCGAAGAATTGATGCTTTTAAACTATGCTGTTGGAGAAGACTCTTGAGAGTCCCTTGGACTGCAAGGAGATCCAACCAGTCCATCCTAAAGGAGATCAGTCCTGGGTGTTCATTGGAAGGACTGATGCTGAAGCTGAAACTCTAGTACTTTGGCCACCTGATGCGAAGAGCTGACTCATTGGAAAAGACCATGATGCTGGGAGGGATTGGGGGCAGGAGGAGAAGGGAACGACAGAGGATGAGATGGCTGTATGACATCACCGACTCGATGGACATGGGTTTGAGTAAACTCTGGGAGTTGGTGACGGACAAGGAGGCCTGGCATGCTGCAATTCATGGGGTCGCAAGGAGTCAGACACGACTGAGTGACTGAACTGAACTGAAGATTAATAATTTGTATTTACATTCTGAAATTGAGATTACAGGATTAGGGTGTTACCCTTCTCTGTTGAAGCTCATAAAATGCTGTCATTTCTATAAAAACAAAATGCATATAGCTTAATATTGTCCTCTTGTTCTGCGATTTATGGTTGGCTGCTAAAAAAAAAATTGTTTTATGATTAGATTATAGAAGTAGGTCTAATTGTTATAAATTTTTTTTTAATTTGAGCTTTTAGAGAAATGATCTCTTTGTAAGCATTAACTCCTTGGACCAACCAGAAACATTTTTTAATTAATAATTTCTTTTTCGAGTCGTCATAATCTGCTTGCATTTCTAGAATGCCTAGCCTTTGTCAGACATAGTGTTTAAGCATATTATGTGCAGTTAGTAGCGAAGTGATCCTTGAAGGTAGATGACAGTCACCATTTTCAGATGAGAAAACTGAGTTGCAAGGGATGGTGTAATATATGTGAGGGCACATGCCTAGCAAGTGGAGAGCTAGAGTCTGAACCCAGGTCTCATGCCCACATGAAATAACTCCTTTGCACTAGGCTGTCTTAGGTCTCTGTACCTCAAGAAAGAAAGCTCTGTGATGTGAAAGACTGGGAATTTTTGTATGTGATTTTTAAATTTACATGCTTTAGAACAGTCACAAGCAATTTAGTGGTGGCTGCTAGCCATTTGAGTTTGATTTAAAGACATTCCAGTTTTTACCTTGTTGGTCAAAACAAAATTATGCCAGATTTATTTAAAAAATTTAACCGTAGAACCCAGTATGTCATCTTTTTGGCTTCTTTAAAAATATAATAATTATAAAGAATAAAGCTTTATTTTAAATTGCCTTTTAATTGAATATGGAAATTGTGTATGTGACTGGTAGTAAATTGCCATTGAATTGCTGACAAGCTGTTTTCAGGGACTGCTAGGCTGTGGAAGCTTTATGTTCCTCCTAAGCATTCTTTGTCTTTTTTAAGCACTGCAGTAGTAATATTAGCTTAGCTTCTAATTTTGGTTTTGCTTTTGTATTTTCTCTTTCTCTTGGTTGTTCCTTTCTTCTTCCGGAGGCATTGTTGTTTGTTCTTTCCATGCATCACCTGTGATTACCCCCTGTGCTGACCAATCAGCTGTTGGTGAAGGGGGTGAATGAAACTCTGGTAGCTCAGAGGGTTGTTCCTGCTCTCATAACTCTCTCCAGTGACCCTGAAATGTAAGTGTCGTCCTTGCCTTTTACCTTCGGCATCCCTTTCAAAATGTGCCTGTTAAGAAATAACCATCATGGAATTTAGAAACATGGTAACAATAACCCTATATGCAAGACAGAAAAAGAGACACAGATATATAGAACAGACTTTTGGACGCTATGGGAGAAGGTGAGGGTGGGATGATCTGAGAGAANCAAAGCATTTTTTGTTGCATGTTGACTGGTTTACAGCTGACTCTTCGAGGCATGAGTGAAGCATTAGTTGATAAGCGGGTTGCTCCGGCCCTTGTTAACTTGTCCAGTGATCCTGAATTGTGAGTTCCACAGACTACAACCTTAAGTTATCCTGTCTGTCTTTTTTCTTGGTCTGCTTTTTTTTTTTAATTTAATTTGTCATTGCTAGCGACTAATACAGTATATTTACCTTGTACTTACCTTGATATATACTTTAATAATAACCAGTTTTTCGTCTCAAAGAAAATGTCAAGTTTTTTTCTTCTTTAATTCTAACACCTCTGTCAGGATTGCTACAATTCCAGCCTTTGGCACGATTATGAAGACTGTTATTCAAAGAGAGGTAGGAAATGAGTGGAATTTATTTAATCTGTATGTACTGCTGAGGTGATGAAAGCACCTGACCATACATGTACCCTGTGGTTGGGGGCAGGGAGGATATACATACATTTTATTTCTTAGTTAATTATGGTCCAGAGAGGATCTCAGTATTTGAAAATATGATAGCCTACCAAAAGTATCTTTTCACATGCTAAGGCAGTCTCTCAATTAGTATAAGCCAGGTCTCAGATGTTCTATTCTGAGCTGGTCTGGATATTGCAGTATTGAATAGTCCTTCACAGCACATCTAGTTTCACAGACTTCTCTTATTCACTAGACTTCTGGATAGTCTGCATAAATTCCCAATTGTTAGTACGTGCAGATTTGAAGGAAACAGTTTTCCTCAGTTTCAGGAATGGAGGCTAGAGGTACCTATGTTCTTGTAACTATCATTCATATCAAACTGCAAGTCATATCATAGACTAGTGTCATCTTTTTGCAGTCTACTTCACTGGGACAACCTTCTGTCATGCCTGCTTCAGGAGATTACCAAAGTCTTCCTCCCTCAAAGTATATTTAGATTCAGAATCTTGTGTGATCTAAAGTTGTTTGGTTCTGTCTGCACGATTAACTATTAGACACTTATAAAAATTAGTATCTGAATGTTATTCTCTATTATTAGATTGGACATGTCCTTGCACAATAAAAAATGCTGTACATTAGAAAATCAATTATTCGTGGACATATTAGCCACTTAAATGGAAAACAAGATTTTCCATCTCATAGACATTTAATAAAAATATATATATATATAGACTGTTTTGTAAAATTTTTTTCATAGAGATTTTTTTATAACAAAAAACTAAACTTATGTTAGCTGTGGGAAAAAGTGTTTTCTGTTTTTTCACTTACATATATATATATTTCACTGGTGGAGCAAAATTAAAAGATATATCATTCTGCAAAGCTTGCAGTCTTGGCAGAATTTCAACATGTTCTTAATCCCAAAATAAAAACTTCTTTTAGGGAAATATGAGTAATATATAAGTCACTAATGACTCATTGCTTTCAGAAGGTGAATAAGTGGGTAACTTACACCGTGATCTGTTTGAAGAATTCTAACTTAGACACAAAATCATCATACATTTATCTTTTCCCCTAAATATTGTGGGATCTTTTCTACAGTTTGTCAGGGAATATTTCTGTTTAAAAAAAAAAAAAAGAGTTGGTAAACATAAAAATGTAGGATCTTTTCTGAGCTGAAAGATTAAAGAAGTACTTATTTAATTTCAAACTTCAACTCATGTTGATATAAGTCATTTGAATCCAGTGATGCAAACCATGTTTAGTGTGTATCTTTCTCTCAATTTGACTGTTTAATATTCAATTTTAAGTTGCTGGAAAGAGTGAAAATGCAGTTGGCTTCTTTCCTGGAAGACCCTCAATATCAAGACAAATATTCTGTGAATATAGAGATCATAAAAACATTTGGTAGAATTGGGCCTAATGCAGAACCAAGGTTCCGAGATGAGTGTAAGTTGCATTTTTTAACTCTTTTCCCTGAATTGATATGTAAGAGCAAAACCATAAGTTTCTCTGTGGATATGTCATGTGTTAAAGTCTCTTCTGCACTTTGTCTTTCATACTTTGAAAGCTAAAAGTGAAACAAGTTTCTTATTGAGGATTGATCACTATTGCTATTACTCAGTGGTTTCTTATACTATATCCTGTAGACATATGAAAAAACTCAAAAATAATTTCAAGTTTTTTTAAAACAGTTCTTAATAACTTAATTTCAAAATAACTGTGCCCCTTATATGTAGAGATTATTATTTAATTCTTATTTCTAAGGAAATTTATATGTGTTTCTAGACATGTTATGAAAGATGTACATTTCTTCTATTTAGCATGCCATTCGACAATTTTAAGTCACAGCTTATCAATCTGCTAAATAATCTGCATAATGATCTGCTAGAGCATTTTCTCCAGTTTCTGTAGTTGCACTTCTACAGTGAGCCTCAACCTTTATGATAACAATTTGAGTGGTATCAAAGCATCCAGTAATTATTACACCAAAAGCATGACAGTTATCACTGCTACATCTTAGTCCTTTTATTTTTAGCCATTTGACATGCTCTTGAAAGGATCACAGGCTTGGTTTCCTAAGTCAGTTTATAAGAATTATCACCAAAAATATTGTCAGGATTTGGACTGCAGTGTCCAAAAGGGCATGAACACTTATGGAACCACAAAAACACAATCACAAGATTATTTCTCAATGGGAAATAGTGTTGGTAACATGAGGAGGAAATACTAATATTTCACATATTTCACAATTAGTTAACAGAAAAAGGTTTAGTATTTTAGTATTTTAGCAGGGTTAGTTCCTCATCGTAGTAACATCGGATTTACAGATGACCCCCTGCAAGAGCTTTGACTAACTTTCTTGACTAACTTAATTGCCCTGAAGCAGGTCTTGGCTATTGAATCAAGGAATAGGCTAAATAGTGGACCTTTGGTGGGTGCCACATTGTTGAGAACATAATCGAACCTTTTTATGTATATTCAAGAGAAAGACTGACACATTACATAGAAAAAAGAAACTTTCTTTTCACAAGTGATCCCAAAATAACAAGGTTTGGCTAGAGAAAGGATTGAGAATAGACGTTTCTAATGTTGGAATAGGTGTAGTAAACCATTATCCCTGAAGCCTTCTACAAGTTAACTGTATATTGATTGACAAGTATGTTTTATACTGTCTTCCTTCACATTCTGGCACTAGACCCTTTTTTTTTCTAAAGACAAAAAAATTTTTTTTTCTTCTGTATTTACTACTCAGTTGGCTTCTCTTTTGCTTTAAAACTTTACCCCAAGGAACTTAATGTCCTGTATTAATAAGATGAATGGTAGACAAAATAGAACCCATATTGACACGGATGCTATATTGCTAGCTATCTGTATTTATAGAGAATTACTGTTAGGAATTAGAGAAAGATCAGAGAATTGCAGGGTAGTAACTGCTGTTTCTTGGGGTGATATTTTTGANAGTAAACTCCGGGAGTTTGTGATGGACAGGGAGGCCTGGCATGCTGCGAATCATAGGATCGCAAAGAGTCGGACACAACTGAGCGACTGGAGTGAACTGAACTGAGGGTTAGTTCCTCATCGTAGTAACATCAGATATACAGATGACCCTTTGCAGGAGCTTTGCCTGACTTTATTGAGGGTGTAATTGCCCTGAAGCAGGTCTTGGCTATTGAATCAAGGAATAAGCTAAATAGTCAGTGGACCTTTGGTGGGTGCCACATTGTTGAGAACACAATCGAACCTTTTTATGTACATTCAAGAGAAAGACTGACACATTACATAGAAAAAAGAAACTTTCTTTTCACAAGTGATCCCAAAATAACAAGGTTTGGCTAGAGAAAGGATTGAGAATAGACGTTTCCAATGTTGGAATAGGTGTAGTAAACCATTATCCCTGAAGCCTTCTACAAGTTAACTGTATATTGATTGACAAGTATGTTTTATACTGTCTTCCTTCACATTCTGGCACTGGACCTTTTTTTTTTTTAAAGACAAAAAAATTTTTTTTTCTTCTGTATTTACTACTCAGTTGGCTTCTCTTTTGTTTTAAAACTTTACCCCAAGGAACTTAATGTCCTATATTAATAAGATGAATGGTAGACAAAGTAGAACCTATATTGACACGGATGCTATATTGCTAGCTATCTGTATTTATAGAGAATTACTGTTAGGAATTAGAGAAAGATCAGAGAATTGCAGGGTAGTAACTGCTGTTTCTTGGNATATATTTTGGAACTTTACTAAAATCTTTTTTTTTTAAGTTTCCTATTGATTTATCTTTACTTTGTTTGCAGTTTTGAATCTTTTAGTGAAAGGCTCCAGAAGTGGCCTTATGTTGTGTGTTTCCTATTTTCCTTGCCCAGTGAAGGTCATTTGTCGAAATACTCACATTTAGGTTATTAAATCTTTTAACCATTTATCTCCATCTGAGGGGTTAACAGTTGAGTGAATTAATTGGTACAGATGTGGTAACCCAGGACAATACTTATATAATGAAATGTTGAATTCTGTAATAAATGTCTATTTTCTGAGATTTAGGAAGATCCTAAATGATCGCCTTTAACTGTCAGTAGTTTATAATTTAAAGAAACTTGTTTAGGTTTGTTTTCTAGTTGAGCAGTTTTAAGGGATATTATGTAGTGTGGTTGTTGAGTTTCTGAGAAAAACGTTGAGGAAAGGATTGCTTGAATAAGAAATAACAGAGAAGGAGCAGAACGAATAGAGAGGCCACACTTTTATAGATAAACAAGTGCAAGGAAGGTAAGTTTGGGCAGAAATGAAATAAAGAATCTTTGAGAGACTATCTCAGAGCCACCATTTTGTTGAGGCCTCAGCATGCCAGTTAAGGAATCAAAGTTTCAGTGAATTCATTAGGAATTCAGTGAATATTTGAAGTTTTTGTCTTATATCTATGTTTTTAGAACACCTCTTAAGTATGTTGTTACCAATTTTGACAAGTCAAAAAACCCCCTAAAAATGGCCATTGTTGTCATAAGTTTTTGTGGGTTTTTTTTTTTTTTACATTTACTAAGGTAAGCCTAAAGATTATAATTATAGTTCTGATCTATTGAGAAAGAAGATTTTTCGATAAGAAGATTGTGGCTTTAACATATGCAAATTCAATGTAAACATGAAAGAAGTCACTGCAGTTGGTCAGAATATGTGCTTATGATCCATGTTTTGAGTCCCCCCAGCCAAGCAGGGATGAGAAAGGGACCCTGTGATCAACAACTTGATAATCATTTACCCTGGAGCCATTTCTCCAAGGAACCCTGGTTTTAGTGGGAAATGGTATTTAGAGATATGATCTTAGGCAGTAGGGGTGCTCAGCGTTACTTAAGTGGTTATTGTTTCTTGGGCCATCGCTTTTAATAGTTTGTTATCTGTATTTTTGAAATTTTATGCTGTTCACTGAGATATCAGATATTGAGCCCATTGAGTGACTTGAAAACTCAGCTGTCTGGACTATTTGACATTGGTCTTTGCTATGAACTTGAGAAACTAAAGCCAGTAATATTTTCATGAAGTAGTGAAATAATTTGACATTGAAAGAGAATAAGTATTCTGTATTTATCTTTTAATAGCAACAGTAATACCTGATTTATATAAACTTTATAATAATAACACAAGAAGTAGGTTGTTTACATTTATTTATTTGGTTTTCATTTTTCAGATTGGGAAACTGAATTNCCATTAAAAGCAGAATAGCCCTGGAAAGGGGAAATAAGAGATTGAAAAAGGTGTGAACACTAAACACTTGAATAGAACTGTGAAAGTATGTGCCACACAGCATAATCAGAGAATTATAGTTGGGACAGAAAAAATGATGGTAGGGAAAGTAGAAATGTAGAACCATGTGTTAAGGAACTGCTTGTCCTTTTCAAAATGTTAACACTTGAAGCTCGATGCATGGTTGAGAGCATTTCATTTTGGGACTCTGCTGCAAATTGCCTAGTCACGTGGCTGATATAAGCTACTTTTTTATAATATAGATTATAAATTAGGCAGAGATACCATATTTTGATAATTTTGCCTCAACTAACCATATATTTTCTATAAGTTTAATTCCACTAAAAGCAGAACTTACTATCATTCCTATTTTATCTTGTTGGCATTTTCAACTTAGAGAAGATAGAGGAAGCAAAAAGAGGAAGTGATGATTGTGAATTTGCAAGGAAGGACTGTTTAGTAATGGAGAAGTGACAGGACCCTTATGAGAAAGTAATAATGGCATGTCAGAGTGTGGCGTATCAAAGAAAGAAAACATGGATATGTTTATACCTTTTCCCTAAACTTTGCTAAACTAAATGTTTACAAACTGCAGTGAAAAGTTACGTGTAATCTTATATTTTCTTAGAGTTTCAAAAGGAATATGCCTCAGAGAAAATGAGAAAGTCAAAAAAAGAAAGATCAAAAATTTTAGCTCTATAAACCTAGTTTTCCAGGTGGACACGGCAGTGGTTTCTGAAAAGCACAGGCATCTGTATAGAAGGAGTGTTACTGTATATTTAGTTATGTGCAGAATACTACTAAGAGAAAATACAGTGAAAAGTCTTTATACCAGCACAGTAAGGGGAAGACTCATCTTAACAACAGATCCTGTACAAGTAGTTCTACATGAGTCAGAACTTGTACTTGTGTCAATAGGGTGGTTATGGCCACTAAGAAAATCACATTGTCTATGTCCTGCTGTTCCATTGCATTCTGAGCTGATAGAACACAACATCATATTTTAATAGGTTTGGCAAGGTGTTACGTCAAGAAATGATGTTTAATATAAAGTTTGAAGGAGTCTAGAAATATTTGACTTAGAAAAGAAATGGTTTAGGGATGAAAAGATAATTTGAAAATTATTTTAAAGGTTGTTATGTAGAAAAAAACTTAGGCCCATTTGTGTAACTAAGGTGCAGAGCAAACGCTGACAAGCAGAGAGACCTGTGGTCTGAGAAGATCTTTAACTAA